ATTTCCACAAAAAACAAAAGAAAATCAATTCCTCCAAATCCAAGAAAGCAGGCGCGTGAGGGGAAGACTAGGAAAATATTTTCCAGGCAAAATTTGTCCTTTCAAACACTACAAAACTTGGAAAGTTCTAAGGCCTTAAGTTTGACGAATGAAAATTCTAAATTTAGAGATTCAGACAAAAATTTCAAAAGATTTAAAGGCTAAGGATTAATTGCACAAATTTTTTCAAAAGAAAAAAATTAGATTGTAGTTGAGAGGATTGAAACCTTGACAACACTATGGACAAAGAAAGTTTTTACCACCATAATATTTATTGTTAATATTAATAAGCTAAATTTTTTTTCCCTTCTCTTTCTCTTTTATCTATAAAAAGAAATTTGAAAAAATAAAAATTGGAGAACTGGAAATTTAGGACTCGAATATTTTCTTAATTTCGTCTCTGTCTTCATAACCTTCGTAAGTAGACCTTCATCCACCATGGCACCTCCCATATTTAGTATAGATTTCACATTTGACATTTTTTTCTTGTGTTGAATATAAAAGTATATTTATTTTCTTTAAAATTTAGACAAAACAAACTGTTTTAATTTTTTTTTTAAGTCTAATTTATTATATTTTCGTATTGAGTGATTTCATCTTATCTTTTTTTTTTTTTTTTTTTGGTGAAAATTGATTTTTCGTCTAGAACTTAAAATGAACAAATTAAAATTGATTTAAAATATTTACAAAAATAATCATTTTCAACTCATGGGAATATTATTTTTATATGCAGATGTACAAGTACTACTTACTTATTTAACTCATTTTCATGTGTTTATAAATACTTGCCAAACATGCCTTAATTATAAATAAATACGTCGACATGTACATATGAGATAAGCGGATGAGTGTATATAAGATAGGGCATTGTACCTGTCACATGGGAATATTACCCAAAAGGGTATATGTGTACAGGGAAATCCTGCCAAATAGCGTATTTCAGGAGAAAATAAAGCCTAAAAGCGTGTATATACCAGATATACGCTTTGAGATGAATCTAAAAAGTGTTAAGAGAGAGAAAAAAACGGAAAAGATGTTTAAATAAACTAGGATAGAGACAGTTGTCCCAATTCTAGATATAATATGAAGATACATAGCATAATTCTAAAGAAAATCGGATATAACAGTAACCTTATAAATATCAAACTCCTTTACTTCAATTTGAAAAAATTTCACTTCGGGGTTTTCTGAATTTAGAATCTGGCTATGGAGAACCAACAAAACAATGTCGCAGCCTACCCAAGTCATGTCTCCGTCCCCCATCATGTCGTAACCACCCCCAGTCACGTCTCCTCCGTCCACAACAATGTCGTTACCACCCCGAGTCACGTCTCCATCCCCAACAATGTCGTAACCACCCCGAGTCACGTCTTCGTCCCCAACAGTGTTGTTACCACCCCGAGTCACGTCTCCGTCTCCGTCCCCGCCCCTGTCCCCGTCGTCAATGATGTTTATGTACCTTGGGAAAGCAATGTCAATTTGTCAATGTTAAGCAATGAGGAATACTTCAGCGGCGTTCCTCCCGGTTATCGTTTTAAGCCTCTTGATTGGGAACTTATCGTTCACTACTTGATGAAAAAGATCAACAACGAGACGCTGCCTCGTAACAAAATTTACGTCGTTGATCTATATAAATGCAACCCTGAACGACTTGCAAGTGAGTTCATCTACTTTTTGTTGCTTTTGAATATATATATATATATATATATATATACACAATTAATTATACTAAAACATTGCAGCATCAGTTTGTTAATTATAATCATATATATATATATATTCTCAAAATAATATAAAAAGAATTAGTAAATTTTCTAAACTTCTAAATTGATTTTATTTTTTGGACAGATGATCACAGGACAAGTAGTCAAGAAAATGAATGGTTCTTCTTTACACCAAGGAACAGAAAGTACAAAAAAGGGATGCGGCCAGATCGAGCAGCTGATGGAGGCTATTGGAAGGCCACTGGAGCTGACAAAATTATCAAACACAACGGTGAAGAAATTGGATTGCGAAAGGCTTTGGTTTTCTACACGGGAAAACCTCCTACTGGTGAAAAAACTTCATGGATCATGCATGAATTTCGACTCAAAAATGCCCCAGTTCGATCACCGACCAGTGATGACGACATGAAGGTACACTTTTTCATGATACTATTAAATAATGCTAACTAGATTGATGTTATAATACCAACGATATTATTAATTCATTTTCTAGGGGTATTGTTCATGCTTCTATACTCCATTTTATTCGGGATTTCTTTTCTCGTAGTTGGATGATTGGATTTTATGTAAGATCTACAAGAAGGAGCGCAAAACGAACAAAAATAGGAATCAACAAAGGGATGGTAACAACCCTGAGGAAGCTGGGAACAATGAAAATAAAGATACATCAGGCAAAGACTCCTCGATGGAAGTAGAAAATTCATTGGGTTTGAATGAGATGGAAAGCAATGTAAATTTCTCCGAAGGCTGCAATGGGAACAACTACACGAGACAATTCGACAACGTTGCTACCCATGGTTTTCCTTGTCAGAATCTCGGTAATTACCCATAAGATGTTGAAGCCTAAAGTTAAATAAGCTTAAATTTTTTATAAGGTGGTTTAACTTATAATAATTCCTTTCTTCTCAATGAAATTGCAGGTGCTGAAGCAGCTCAAATGTGGCTACAAAATCTTCCTTCAATGGGAAGTTACATCTCCACCAGTGAGAATGCTGGTACATACGGTCATGCACCAGTTCCAATTGCCAGGGTTCCACCAATGGCGCCCTTGGGGATACTACCACGTCCTCCTTTATTGGGAAGTGGCGTAGCAATCAATGAGAATGCAAGCACATCCTGGCATTCTGTATCTGGAACCACCATGGTGCCACCAGTGTCCTCATGGCTACCAAATCTTCCATTTATTGAAAATTATGGTTCTAGCTGCAGTGAGAATGAAGTATCTCTGACTGACATGATGCTGCAAATGCCCTGTACGACACAAGATCTTCCATTCATGGGAAATTATGTCACAACCAGTGACAATGTAGGTACATTCATTTATGCTGCTCCAGATCCCGCGGAACCACCAATATTGGCCGGATCGCCAAATAATTCATTCACATCAAATTTCGTCGGAATCCCAGATGATTTGAAAATTATGACAACGGGACTAGATGAGGAGCTCCCTGAAATTCCGCCCATGGAAGTTGATGATGTATGGGAATATTGGGTCGCAGAAGGAAAAAATAATTTCTAGTAACTATAACAATTCAGCCCCTACTCTTTCCAGTTAGCATAATGGTTTAGGATTTTGATTTTATTGACAAACTTCAATTTTTTCATTGAATTTAGAGACCGAAACTTTTGACAGTTTCATTGATTATTAAATTTAGAGATTATATTTTGATGGAATGTTTATTACCATATTTGTTATATTCATCATTGTTTCTTCTTTTACTTATAATTTTTTTGTGATTTATGTTACAAGCTTGTCCTTATATAATTCGATAATATGATTTGAAAATTGGTATTTAGGCCCCGTTTGAATCATATTTTTTTTTTATTCTCATTCTTCTATTCATTTTTAAACACACATTTTTCAATAAAATAATATTTTTCATCACATCAATAACTTTTCCTTCTTTTTCAACTACATATTCCCTATCACATCCACAGTGAAAATGCATTCTTCGTTTAAAAATGTGCACCAAATGGGGGCTTAGGTTTAAATTTAAATTTTGTGTCTTCTTCTTCTTGAACTGGATTCTTTTTCCCAATTATCATCGTAAACTACGACGAACCTTATTGTGATTTTAAAAATCATTTTTGAAAATTGTGACTTCAAAATGACATTTTGGTTTAGAAATGTGGCCCACGAGTAAAGTACTTGAAAATAAATATACGAATTTATATATTAGAAGCATCTAAGGAATTATAAGCATTCGCTTAGACTCCCATTCACAATTGGTAGCCCTTAATTTGATTTCTTTAACAAGAAGCCCGTCTACGATTGTTATTCATTTCTAGCTTGATATTTACACGGAGTATTCTAAGAAATGTGGTCTCTACAACTATAATTTCGCACAAAAGAGTCCTTCCACATCTCCGTGGAATACTCCAAAAAGTTTGTACATAAAATATTTGCGTTTTCTTTTAAGATTCCTACAAAGTATATTTTAGATTTGAACTTTTTCGCACGTTCCATAATGCCCTAAATCATTCCACAAACCTCTTCGTTTGCGAGTGTCTAAGCCACCTTGTCTGCTATTTTTTGGCTTCAAATGCATTCCTTGTGTCTCACCTTTGGCCCTTGCATGCTGTGCTCTATGCCTTGTTCGCGTCTTGTGTCTTAGTCGCATAAAACTCCAACAAGTTTTCTCATAAAACTCTCTAAAACATGACCTCATTTCCATCTCTCTCTAACATTATAGCATTTTCCTTAACTTCTTTCAAAACTTTTTCAAGGAATACTTTAGAGTCGAACTTCTTCACATTTTCTATAATACTTTAGATATATTAAAAGAAACATGCGTCTTCTAACTTTACTTATTCAAGTATGCATCTTCTATTTGTGCCTCGTAGAAAGGGTTCTTTTTTCGAGCGATGCAACAAAGAGAAAAGTAAGGAGGAAAACAATTGTCACTTCAATATTTTTGAAATACACCACCATGTCAAAATCATATTTATTTTAAATTTGAGTTTAATTACATAATTATTTTTTGCAATTCAGGAAAAGATGTACTCCGGTACTGTATTTTTCCAATATCCTTGCTACTAACCATACTCGACGAAATTGCTTCTTTTTCTTTATTAGTATTGTCGAATGCATGCACCTCGCCTTATCGTAATGTCACTAATATCTTCTGGTATAATAATATTAGACAAGAATGTATACCGTACACGCGACTTTGTTTTCCCACAATGCTATGTGGTAATCTATAATTTCTATTACCAAACAAGCCATTAACAAGAAGTTATGACACAACAAGAACTTTCAGCCAGTATCCTTTGAGACATATGCTGATGAATATGAGGTGAGGTGACATGACGAGATCCTTGGAATTCCGTGCATTGACAGCAAGTTCTTGGATTTGGATATTCTCATAAATACTGAGCAGAAGATCTGTGATGAATTTTGTTCTTATCATTTTATCAGTTTTAGATCAATTTATGCAGTTCAAATCTAGCCTCAAATAGGTGGAAACTTTCATCCTCATCCTCGTTATCTTCTTCCACTCCTGATTTTTGGTACTTTCATGGTCGATCAAATGTCTTGTTGACCTAACAAAATCCATCGCTGATGTCAAAAATGACGAGCATGTACGAACACTTTTCAAGAAAGAATAATTCTACGATATTATAACAAGGACTATATAAAACAACAACAACAACAACAACAACAATAATAATAATAATAATAATAATAATAATAATAATAATAATAATAATATTCTTTTTATGGGTGCCACAACTTTTTAATTATACATTTCAGCAGCTTCTTCAAAACTTACTAAAAATTCGATTTTAATCCCCACAAAACAAGGAATTTTTCCAAGTCACTGTAAACACAAATTAATTGAATGAATTTTTCATTTTGAGTTAATTATCGTCAAGTTATCACGGCCTTGAAAAATATGAATGGGTTGATTGTCGAGGGCTTTTTAGGAGCTCGAATGACGCAGATGTTAGGTTCACTTGTGCATTGGTGGTTAAAAATTAGAAAGGTTGCCTTTTTCAAAATAATTTTGTCAAAATAAATAATTTACTTAATTCTAATTACTAAAATGAGTAACTTATCTAAAACTCATTTACTTTAAAGCTTAGGCAAACATGACCAAAGAGGTCCCTCATCCTCCTAGTGGAAAATGAGATTTCAAGCCAGGCTACAACATGAAAAAAATAGTTTCACATTGTTCCAACACTTATTTACTTGCTGTACTAGCTGGTTTTCTCATGCACATGTGTCCGAAGAAGGTAAAAGAAGAAGACGATATTTTCTGAGAGGGTAAAATTAGACATTTTCCCAACGGAAAAGACGAGCATGCCTATTAAGTATTACAGAAAGACGGGCATGCATTGTCTGCACGATACAAATTTAAATTATGAGATATGATCTCTATTCAAGAAGCATCATGTCTCGCCAAACGAGTATGCTGCTTATAACAGAAACTATAGCATCAATTTGAAATTATACCAAGTCATTCATTGCAACAAAGATCTTATACAGACTCATGATCCAAACTCAACAACATATTTGTAGGCATAATCTAATTGACTTTTCCTGTCTTAACATATGCATATAATTGTATAAATATTCTTATTTTCTATTCAGATAGAAATCCGAAAATTATAAAAGCTGAAAACCAGACAAACAAAATCACACATGAAATTCCGTCCAAATTGTAGATTAGGAGCTTCAAGAAACATGCAGAAACTCTTCAACTGATATGTATGTGTACGGTGTACCTCAGAATGAGCTATTTTCTTGCATTCTTTTTCACTGATGCATCCTTTATAACCCTGTGTCTCTTTTGCACATTCACCTTAATATTCCTCTTTCGCAACTTCAAATCTTTTGCACCTATGGTGTACTTGTTTTGAGGATCTGGAATACTGAATTCAGCAGGGTTTCGATTGAGAGTGCAAAGATCCATTTTCGAATTGCTTCTCATTGGCTGAGTTGAAAGTTTAATGGAGGCCTCCAAGTTCATGGTCCCTGATAGACCTTCATGTCTATAAGATTGTTGAGGAAAAACCATAGGACTTGAGGTATCAAGGATAGTTTTTTGCTTATCCATACCAAAACAAGAATCTCGAATAACATGCGAAGCGCCTTTTGAGGATTCAGATTTTTGTGGTCCTCCTGAGTTTTCTTGCTCCAAACATTTAGCGGACATTTGATCTACAAAACCAGGTAGCCTTTTCAGAAATATCTCAATGAAGTAGAGCAAAAAATCATAAAATATAGATGTGATTAGTCTAATCTTATATCTAACCTCAAATATATGTTTTAGTTTAGTGATCTCGTTAGATATTTCCATAAATATATGTAACAGATGAACCCAAACTACTGTAAAAATACACAGGCTTATCAATAAAAAAATTTCCATTCTCACTTCAAATTTTCATCTTTCCCTACTTCTCCAACAATAGTTAATCAACAGTAAGCAAAAACACAAATGAAAATTTTAGAAAAGTTGAGCTCTTACAATTCAAAGAAGATGCAGGCTTCTTCGAGCTTTCACAAGCACTACGAACACCGGACCGTAACCAAATAAGATCCTTAGAATGATGCTGCTGTGAAAAGAGGGATCGATTGAGTAAACTCTGATTCTTTTCCCTGTTGAACCTCGGGTGGTGATTGCAGGGAGAAAAGGGTTTATCGACTAATTTCTTCGCACCCACATTGAAAGAACTGGATATCATTCCCCGATCCATCAAAGATAGCAATTGCATTGCTGGAATTGTGTCATTTGAGTAAGGATCTAATGACCCCACGGATTTCTGGCTCTGCTCAATTATCCCCTGTTCAAGTAACAATGTGTCACGTAGAGCTAGATTTTCCATATTACCGCCTTTTATGTCACTAATGGTCTTTCCACTATGGTGCTGGTGTGAGAATGAATGCATCCTCGTAGGTATGCTTGCCTTCCTAGGAGGCAACATTTTCTTTGCTCCTTCACCGAGTCTTGATCCCATTATGTTGGAGCCTGAAGCTGAAAACTGCATTTTACTCAGTTGATTCCGTGGAAATGAACAGAAGAATCTCGATTGGTTTTCCTCTGGTTCTTCCCCGACAAGATGATTCGTTTTCAAGAGAGGGAAGCTTATAGGACTGTCCTGGATAGCTCCAATGTTATCACTTGCCAAAACTATGTCGTTGCTTCTTGTGCTGCCAAGTGAAAAATTTGCTGCACCAGGATATTCATTGCCATCGAAGGCAGGAAACCCTATATTGGTCCCCTCTGGTACAATGTACTTCTTTGAATTACCAAGAGACCTTTCATGTTGGTTTTTCGCCATCAGCTCAACTATGTCCATCGGGATGTCATCTGATGCTCTAAGTTCAATACTCTTATCAGTTTCTTGGTCAGTTTGTGTTTGTGGTTCAGAAACTCCCAGACGCCCTTGCCCTTCTCCAGCATTAACTTTGCTGCAGGAGGAAGAAATATCCTGGAAAAAAAAGTTTGAATACTTAGGATTCTAGTTTGCACTATTTGGGAAAACAAATGAGTTTTGATTTCCTGTTGATAGGAGGGAAAGTTGTTATAAAATTAATCCTAATCACATAAATCAAGCATGAAACTGGTATAGGGAACTGATGAATATGTGATATCTTCAATTTACTTTCAAATGAAATCCTCATAATGCAGCCAAATATATTGTAATTCCTAATGTGATACTAGAATCATCGAAAAGTCCTCAATGAAATGGTCTTCAAAGTTTACACTTGTCTCCTACATCAGCTTAACCTGCAAAAGACATACTGCCATCATCTGTATCACTAAAACAACCAGAAATAACGGATTCGGCTCCCAGCATCCCACACCCCCCAAACTCTCTTCTGCTTCTTTCAGGACAATATTGAAAAGTTAAAACATAAACTAGCAACTAGGTAAATTGGGAATAGTATGTTGAAGAGAAAGTTGCTTACCAAATTCTCGTGCAGAGGTAAATAACCATTATCAAGTACAGTTGAAAATTGATTCTCTCCCCGCACAGGAGGTTTATGAGTAATTATCTCATTCAGATCCCACAGAAATTCTTTCCTTTGAGGACCCTTACTACGAATGCCTTTTGGTTGCACGATTGATGACCGATCATTATCATTTCTTTCTGCACTCATAAAGCTGTTGAGAGAAAGATCCAATGCCACTTTCTCTTTAACTAAACATTCTCCTAACTTGCTGTTTTTGGGAGCCATCAGAAGATTGGGACCAGCTTCAAGTTCAGACCTCATATTCTTGGAAAAGTTGGAGTTCAACACTGTTTGTTGGGTAGACTGAAAACTCCTACAAATTGGTTCCATTTGTCCTGACAGGCTAGGAACATTATATTTTGGCAAATCCGTAGAGACTAAAGAAATTATCTTTGGCACCTCTAGCTCGGGAACTTGGAGAGGCAACCCTTCATCTATAGGGATCTGACTTTTCCTTTTACCAAGAACAAGATCTTTGCTTCTGCTCGGCTTGATCTTTCGACTCTTTACGCCAATCTGCATATCTAATTGTGCAGATGCACCTCCTTCTGATTGTGAGTCAGAAATTTCAACATGTCTGTCCTCTGAATTTACTTTAGGAGCTCTGAACTTTTTAGCTGAACTACTCGGAGAGTTAATTTCTGTGGGTCTTTCGTTTTCTTCTCGAGCAATCTTTCTTTTCCTCTGCGTAGTTCTGATACCTTTTCCAACATGTCCAAGGAAATCCTCCTGGTCACGAGGAGATGAAACAGTTCCTAACTCAGCAGACACAGTATGCATTCCGCTGGATGAAGCACTGACTTTTGGGTGATCGTTTACAGAAATTTTTTCTCCATCCATTATTTCTGTGAGATAACGCAACTTAGGCTTTCTCTTATGTGGCAATCCACCTAAATTATTATCACTTCCAGATGATGCACTTTCCTGCTCATCCACTTCGACTGAAAGGAGTCCAATTGCATGTCCTGTATCAGCATTTACAGCCTTATCACTGATATCGCCAGTATCATTCCTTAAATTGTTTGTCTCTAAGACATCAATATATCTAGATTTTATAGCATCTGTAACAAATAACAAAAATATTACTTTTTTCTATAATTGAATCAACAATGAAAAATAAGCATTTTTAAAGAATTCACTGATGCTATCAAATTACCCGCTGTATTTGTATGTGTCTCTTGAGCTTGGCAAGGATTAGGTTCTGTTGTATCAAAACTCTGGTTGCGACCTTCTTTATCCATGACATTTGCTCCACTTTTGTTGCCTGCACAGACATATAGTATATTACACAAGGAACATGGGAAAAATATTCAAGCTAAACCCACTACCATATTCAGAAGAAAGACATCAATATCCAGAGTTAAAATTCCACAATGGAAGTCTTTTAGCAATGCTTTGAGACTAATCACAAACTCACATGTTGTCGCTGTATGTCTTGCTGTCAAGCGTGGATTAAAGTTTGGGATATCATTTACATGACCGCAGTTTCTGCTATTTCCAAAGCCATCTGATCCATGCTTGTCGCCTGAAAAAGTCAGGATATTTACAATAAAGAGACATCAAATAGGTAAGCCAAACTCATGCTTGGTTAATGCATTAGTAATGAGATTGTGCTTATGTATGTACAAGCAACAGCTTGATCACCAATTTCAGCATTTCTTGCTTGCTTGCATCTAGATGGAAACAATATACCTTTTTCTCCATCTCTGGTAGAAGAATTTGTATCGATAGTATTTTTTTCTTCGCTTAATGGTATTGGAGATTGTTCCATCATCATTTCTTCTGAACTACTTTCCATCATAAATTCTGAAATACAGTTTAAGCAATCCCACCATCTAAATCTGGGGACGTATAATGGAGGGAGGTTCTCCTCCAAATCACCACCATTAGCTTGTGAAGCAAAAGGCAAACAAAGCTTTTGATCCTTTTTCCTCATGCCAGCAACATATCCACTGCATTCACAGTAGAAATTCAGAAATGTTTACAATTGCAAGTTTCTAGGCAACTTTCATGTGTACACAAATTCATTAATGAACCTTGATGTAATCATGTCTTCGTACAATAATCAAAAGGTAGTGAAGAGATTATGCAACGCTCGCTGTGCCTATATCAATTATATATAATAAGAATAACAATTAATTTCAGCCAAAACTAGCTAACTTTAGTATTAGGCTATACATGTAGTAAACATTCTCACTGCTTACGTAATAAATATAGTCCTCAAACATTCAGGAACACATGTGAAATGAAATGCATTATTATCATCTGACTTGAGTGTGCTTGTGTGTTCATTATCTTAAAACTAAATTATCATGTACTAATTTAATGGGGAATCATACATGTAAGCAAGCATAAATGCACATGAAACACATTGTCGCACACTCAAAGCCATACAACGAGTAGAGAAAGAATACTCTTATCAAGGAAAGACCTTTAGGACGACAGAATTCAACAAGTGAAACAAGCTGGTGAAATCTTGCAACAAAGGCTTACCGTAAGCAGAAGTGTTTGTGCTCTTGTGTATCCTCTTCTGCAACCATACCAAGATCTATAGCTATTGAGTTTATCCGAATGAGCATTCCTAGGGGCCTTGGTGTTGATACAGCAGAATCACTTTTTTGATGATTTATTTCCATCTCCACGACACTCTTCTCCATTTCAAAAGCAAAAGCCTAAAACCACTGGATGAGGTAATATGCATGCATTCACATAATTAGGTACATGAACCCATACCAACGTACAATGGCGATACACCTCAAAGTTCAAAGCATTATGAAAGTTCACATAAGTGCATGTTTAGAAGTAGAAAGACTACACGTATAATGAACAAACTTTTAGGTTCTATTTTTTTTTCGTAGTAGTGTCCAGTCCTGTGCATTTCTTTCTACGAAACATGCTACGAAGTAATGGAAGTATGTTACCATCCAAACCAATGTAAGAATGAGAATTCAAGCTATTATAAATGCACGATTCATCACAAACGAAGTCAAGTTGTTGCAGTATTGTATACGGAAAATACAAGAGATAGACAGGCAATTTAAGAATAAATGACAGTAAAACATGGCAGCTGGAAGTGTTAACAAATGTTAGAAACCCTAGTCCACAGTGACAACATGGATGAGGCTGTATCCAATTCAAAATCCTTCAAATTCTGCACATAATACAATCCACAAATAGCTAAATGCATAAAATAGACAGCAGAATGATTCACGAAATTTAATTTTAGGGTTTCTAATCTTATTTTTAGTAAGTAATATTAAAAAGATTCATCAACACGTCGAAAATTAACTCAAAACCCATATTAGGATTTCAATTATAACTGCAAAAACAAAAAGCCACATGGATTAATCTTAGGCGTAAATTCCACTGAAGTAATTAGGGTTTATATATTAACGGTTTTGATTATTCCGATGGACGCGACCCAGTTCAGATATATCATAAACCAAAAAGAATAATAAAAAGTACCATAAATGATAAGACAGACACATGAAATCAAACCCAAAAAGGACAAAAGAAAAATTAAATGGACCAAAAAAATAAATAGAAATAAATTCACTTTAACAGAAACAGATATTTAAGGGAAATAAAATAGAGCTCAAATTCAGCTAAAACCCAACAAAAACCAACACGGGGAAAAAATAATTATACCTAAAAACATATAAACACGGTTAACAGTGAAAAGATGAGAAAAAACAAACCTTTTGTTGGAATGGAAAAACCAGATCAAAACATCACTGATCGACCCAGATAAATTCCTCAACGGCTGACTGAAATTTGAATCTCATTTAATAGAGAAGAAACTGGAGAATCAATACATATGATTTTCTTGAAGAGATCCGAAGGTGGCTGTGAGGAATTCGAGTGCGAAAGGACAGAGAACCCTAGGATATTTTTAGGTTTGGAATTTTTTAGAGAGAGAGAGAGAGAGAGAGGGGAAATGTTATAGAAAGAGAAAGCAAAGTATGAGAGGGAAAGAGAGTGCGCACTGTTGAGACATACATACATTTTTATTTTTATACGTACAAACATATACGTGTGTGCACTGTAGAGAGAGGAGAGAGATAGCCAATCATAATGCGCCAGCAAGGCAGAAAGGTGGTGGGATGACTTAACTTCATCCGCGTTTTTGAAACCCTAGTCAAACGTCAGTACAAAGCATGAAGTACACGCTCCATTTTTTGAAGGAGAAATTTGCACCCACTGCCTCCAAACATTGATACTAGGCACTTGGATCCCAATTCTTATGTTTTTTGCAATCACATCCACATACTTTCATAATGGATCACGTGAGTCCATGATGAACCAACGTTGTCCACTTTTTCATCAAATACACACCAAACACTTGAAGTATTTAAAGCAAGCTTGACAAAAAGCAACTTTCTTGTAAGTTGAAGATTCACTAATTGTGTGATCAAATTCCACACGAGTGGTTCTTGTAATTTATAAGACAAATAAGTTGGGATAAGCTATGAGGACCAACTTGTGTGGATTTTGGTCTCCAAAATTCGAAAGTTCATCAGCTTATAAGAAGTTTACTTTTTGGTTTTTGCCAACATGCTTTTAAAGATGGATCTCATTTTGAAATTTAAAAACATGATAATTTGACTTCACCTTTATCTCATTCACCTCCGCCTGCATGAATTTTGAGCTGTTGAGTTGGATTTTAGTTTCCCGTGCATCATATTGTGTAGCTAACCTAAATGTAACCATAGGGATAACAACTTATCCCGTCCAACCCGAGTCCTACGATGTGCTACCTCGCTTGAGATCAAGATGTCCTACTTAATTGGGGTGGCGAGACATTGGAGCAAAAACTGCTCTTCGGGAGTGAGTACAGAATCGTCTAATTATTTTAAAAAAATAATCAAATTTTGTTTGAACTAACAAACTTTGTTATGTCCAAACTTGAATCAATTGCCAAAGTCCATTAGCACAATTCCCAAATTATCCAGTCGCTCCTAAAATTTATGAAAAAAAAAATTATAAATGGGCATTAAGCAAGGATCAAGAAGGGCACCTTGACACATCCCTAACTCGCTATTTCCATCCGTATGTGATCCAACATTGACATGCAATATGTCACAATAATTGAAATTCCATGATCAAGCGAGATAAGGGTTTAGACCTATCACAATCACTTGCTCAACAAAATATCGAGCAAATTTCCTTTTAGCCATTGTCTCTACATTTTCATTGAGATACCATAGTTACAAAACTTGTCTTCCATAGAGACAAAAACTTTGAAGAAGAAAAAAAAACACGGGAAAAAAATTAAGGAAAAGTTCCTTAAACCAGATTTTGAAGAAGAAACATAATATGCACCCCTAAAAATTGTTAAGATGTGTGGCATGTGGATATTTTTAACAACCAAACAAACAATATCGATCCAACAAGGACCTATGTACACCATTGCGAAAGTTTGGGATATGATCGCTAAAAACTAAGAAATGAGACCCAATTGATCGTAGCGTCAATGTTTGGGGACCTTGAGTGATAGTTAGTTTGACACTCACTATGAGCTAAACGTGCACATGCACTAATCTGACATTTGATTGGTGAGTGTAAAATTACCACCACATTTAGCGTGTGGGTTAGATATTATATCAATTAGAAAGGGTGAACCCTACTCGTGTGGCAATAAAGAAGGAAGGTAAAGTGGGGACAACCTACGGTGGTGACTTGCCAAAAAAATGGGAGAAAAAAAAAAGGAAAAAGGCTCAGGTAGGTAGGAATAAAAATGATTTTAGGGGTTTATGGGAACTATTATGCATTTTACATAAAATGAAGAGACCAATATTGTTGTAAAATAAGTACTACTAAAAGTCTGATTTTTATCTAAATCAAATAGCGGCTAAATGTGCGATATTAAGAGCTTGTTATGTCACATGTTAAGAGCCCAATTGATCGTTTTCCATGATTCGTGCGTTAAAACTTTCAAAACGATGGCAAATTCTTCCGTTAAATAAATATTTTCGCTTGTTAATTATACATGTCATACACAATCAATTAAAGAAAAGATTGTTTCTCTCTTCTATTCTATACAATTGACTAGTATCATATATTAACTATCGTCAATCTTGAAACAAGGAATTAAGTCCAAGAATCACAATATTTAAGCTTATTTATTGCACGAATCTCCTCGAAATACATTATGGTCCCACTTACTCTTAATGCTTATGAATCCATTATAAGAATTTTCATAGTCTTATAATTCCTATATAAAATTGGCATCTAGATGGACTTACTGCTTATAGATAATGCACTTGGTATGTCCATAAGGTGTTCATCTTTTGTTTTTTTTAGAGAGGAGCTTGTTCGCGTTGATCTTCCACCGCCGCCTTCGGTGGCGTTGTGGTCCTCTTCTTTCCATTTGTCCATCACTGTAACCTTTCGACAGCTTCTTCTCGCATTTTTCGCAGACCATTGTTAGCTGGTAATTATTTAACAGATGGAAGAGTAAGGAATTTTCGTTCTCTACAAATCAAATTAATTTGTTGTTGAAGATGCTATTTTTAAATTCTGGTATATCACATTATGACCTCGAAATGACAAAGACACGCAATATATAGAGTCTAGTTAAAGATTCAGATGATCACATAGCAAAAACAATCCATCGAAATTGGCTTGTAATCCATGATTCGTGTGTTGAAACTTTCAAATTTGTTTTCTCGTGTACAGCAAAATGGCCATGATGTCTACGTAAATTTATGGTTCCAGTTACTAATAATGCTAATGAATTCATTGCAATAAGTTGGTTGTGAATACTTTCAACTTATTATCTCCATCTAGCTAGTGAATCGTTATACATTGTTTTGCGTTAAAACATTAATGTTTTTCTCAATGTTTTGAAAACTAGCCCAAATATTGATCCAAAAAAGTTAAGGGTCAAGTTAGAAGGTCGAGTCGAGGTCGAACTGCTAGTAATAAATAAATAAATAATGTCACAAAATTGATAAAATTAAGTTAATTTTTCAACTTAATTAATATATATAGACAAAAGCGCCCATTAATGATTAAATTTGAATTTATTTTTATTTTTATTTTTATTTTGCCATATGTTGAACTGTTTAATACTTTTATAGTATTTTATTGTGTCCTTGAAATAAAACTAAAATGAAAGATTACATAAATTGGATTGGAAACGAAAAAATAAATTAATTTGAAGAGAAATAATTTACACCAATGATTTTCCTTCTTTATTTTTTTTTATTTTTTATTATAGAGTTAACCTTTTAATTTATTCAACTTTTATAACTGAAAAATCATTCACAAGGGTGGACTCGAGAGTGCTTTACAAACTCTAGATCGTGTTTTTTTTTTTTAAATCTCACATTTGAATATCCTAACAAAAATATTGAACATACATGCTATATCACCATCATCCCAATAGAGATCTCTCTTGTTGACATTTATCGGCGGTGGAATCAACAATTCAGAGGTTGGGGTCAATTAGTTACCGCATGAATCAGTTATATTGAAAATTTCGTACAATTCCAACCACAAATTGAATGTTCTCGTCACATTTTATCAGAATTATTGACGTGATGTATTGTATTTATGTACTACGGATTCAAATTAGTTCGAAAGTGTGTTGAAGTCTCAATTGAAGATTGTTGACCTGGTAAATGGATCGATATGTGGCCAATAGAAATCAGCT